ACTAAATTCGACTTCGCCTAGAACAACCATTTGGTTTCCACAAAGGAAGTTCATCCATATATTCCGGCGTGGTTCCCCCTTGTCAGTGATGCAGGACGGAGGGCCTGACAAGGAAAGCTGTCTAGTCGTTCGGAGGGCCTGACAAGGAAAGCTGTCTAGTCGTTCGGAGGGGGCGTATGCCCGTCTTCATTAGCCCAGTTAGGAGCAGATAAGTAGGACGTTAAACCCCATTTCATTTCATTTCATTTCATTTCCACAAAGCTTTGTCTAACGAACTGAACAGAAGAAGAAAATGGAGAAGAGAGGATAAAGTGAGCGGCTTGTTGACACCGTATGGTGCTAGTACTAGGCCTACAGAGTACAAATGTGATGTCTAAACGACTAAAAATCCATTTTACGCAGCTTAGCTTAGTTGTCTTCAAAATTATAGCTTTGACGTGCCTATTAAGACGGTAACACCGATCCATTTGTAAGACGGGCTTGTCGAAATATACTCAAAAGAAACACATAGATATTTTTTACATTTCCATAGCACAACTTGGGCCTAGAGACAGTTAATGGCTGAAATTTGATTAAAAATTCAAAGGAGTGAGACAAAAAGTTTTATGATCCTTTCAGACAAGTTTACGATTTTGAAAGCTGGATTTTGACCGATCTATATTCAAGTCTGAGCCGACCAGATACTTGTATTAAAAGTTTCCATGAAAAAAAGCATAAACTAACGTAACAGACAGAACCGACCCGGCCAACCAAATCAATTAAAAGCTTTACCCTTTACCTAGTATTCACGTTTTTATGACCAGGGTCATATTCACAAGAACTTAAAGGTGCAGTATGTATGATTAAGATCAAGAGCTAGCATTTCTTTCTATAATAGTTGATAAATACATAATATTAAAAAATATATATATTAAAAATTTCAGCCAATTTACTTTTTTCTCAGCGAAGTTATGGGTGATTGAGTTTTGGCAATATTGTCTCTATTGTTAAGTTCCATTGCTACGATAAAAACAAAGTCTGTATTATTTATTTTATCGATAAATTGTTAAATTGCGAAGTTTTAATCCATTAAGCCAAAACGAAGACCTAGCAATTGACAGATTTAGCTCTTACATAATGCATCTGTGAAACCCTTCCAATCTAGGCGTCATGATTCCTGGGTGCTACGTATGGGCACGTGAAAAGATCTTTTGACTGGGTAAATTTAAAAACGACTGCAGTGTCTTCAATATAGATCAGTCAAAGTCCAGTTTTCAAAACTTTTGGCCTACGGTACTTGTTTAAAAGGTCATAAAACTTTTTTTTTTCTAACCCAACTGAATTTTTAATCAAATTCTAGTCGTTAGCTGTCCATACGACCATGTTACTGGTGTTTGAGAAACACTGATTACCTAATCCAACACGCAACGCAGATTTTGGCCAATAAAATTGTTGGTGCAATACAATTTGTTTAAAGTAGCTAAATTGCTAATGTTTGGGACCTAGAAATTGACACAAATGGGTCGCAACAAATATAATAATGTAATATGAATGTATATAAAATGATTTACATTTAATCGTTTCCGTTTTTACTCTTATTTCAAATCAGTTATGTTCGGCGAGATACGCCAGAAGTCTCAATCGAATGGCAATCTCGAGCGTCTTGTTATTCCAGTCTACACCGACAGTATTTATTGCGCATGCTCTCCAGATAAGAATATGCCGTCACTGTTTGAAATGACCTGTGGAATATGTCTAGCCTCGTTCTTCGAGTCTCTTGTTACAAATGGCACTGAAACGCATAACGGTACACGATTCGTGTACCAATGGTAAAATGTTTATTTTGTCTAATATATTGGATATCAAAGGCCCATCTTGATTTCAATTGACAAATAATTCGTGTTTTCAATGTCGAAGACTTTGGATGATATTGGGTAGCTACTTGAAACTAAACTGATATCTGGCTAATATTTCAAGAATCTTAACTGTTTGAGTTCATACGAATGTTAAAAACACACCGTTGGCCTATGGGCCTTTTACTAATGAAATTAAACGGTACAAGTGATCGTTACTCTAGACTTATATCTAGTATTATATCAATAGAACGTGTAGTTATTAGCACGACTTAAGAAATACTAGACAAGACGTCTCTCGGTAAAAAGCAGTAATTGTGTTCCACAGAATTGTGACCAGTTTATGTATAGAAAGTGAAATTATAGAGTAGTCATTAATTAGCAGCTGTGTAACTAATTATAAAAGATGTCACTTCTTGTGTAAAAACGTGATTAATTCTAATACACATCTTTACTGAAAGCACAACCTAACCATTAGTGGTGTATACCCTGACTGATTACTAATAATCTTAAAGGACTAATGAACATTTGTGTCATATTGCCATTACAAGTTATTTGCTTATTAGTCATGCCGAGGTCCCACTGGAGAAAATCATCGGCGATGTGGAAATAAACAAATTTTCTCCCGATGGCTCCCGATGTTTTTGCCCTCAGGAGAATTTCGAAAAATGTCACTGATGTGTTCCCGACGTTTTGTCTGGCGAACTGACCGGGAAGGAATCACCGGAACTTCCCAGATCAATATTTTCCCCCCGAGGCATCCCCGATTATTCAAATAGCCGCAAAGGTCTGCTGATACTTAAGCGAGACATCGCCGATCCTTAGGGAATTTCTCGGGAAAAAAAGTATTTTGCCGTTATCCCGAGGCCTCCGGATGGTTTCACATGGCTGTTGACTCCCCGGAAGCTTAAGTCGGATGTCGGGACCCCCAAGCCTTATCATTTTCCATCGGTAGTACATTCCCGAGGCAAAAAATGTTCAGCGGGACATAAACGATATCAACTTTACGGTGTACAAGATATATACCCACATAACAAACTGATGTTAATTTTACGTAAAGTTTACGTAAAAATGGTCAGTCAGTTTACCATCATTTTGCTCATCTTTTTAACGATAAGTTTACGTCAGGAAATGACGTAAATCTAACGTAAAGTTTACGTCATTTTTACGTTATATTTACGTCATTTTCTGATGCAAATCTAACGTAAAGTTTACGTCATTTTCTGACGTAAATCTAACGTAAAGTTTACGTCATTTTTACGTTATATTTACGTCATTTTCTGATGCAAATCTAACGTAAAGTTTACGTCATTTTCTGACGTAAATCTAACGTAAAATTTGCGTAAAGTTTACGTCACTTACGTTACATTTACGTCAGAAAATGACGTAACCTTTACGTTAGAATTGCGTCAGAAAATGACGTAAATATAACGCAAATACGACGTAAACTTTACATTAGATTTACGTCATTTGCTGACGTTAAATTATCGTTAAACAGATGAGCAAAATGATCGTAAACTGACCGACCATTTTAACGTAAATCTGACATAAATATAACTTTTTCTTTTGACGTTCTTCGGAACCAAGTGGCTCAGTTAGGACTTTCTGGTGTGTTTCCCTCCGTCAGTGGTGTAGGACAATGGCCCGGCAAGGGATAACGTACAGTCGTTCAGATGGTACGAAAAACCAATAATGTAAAACAAACATTAAATTAACATCACTTTTGAGATGGAAATATAACCATTTAAATGTTATACAATAATCCCTACATTAATCCAATAACTAAAAGATATGCAAATCCTTTTCAAATCCCTTCCCACTTCGGGACTAACACATCATGGTTCAATTTTATTTCAATAATTCGCTTGCACATTTGGGTCTTTAGCAATAGGAGTAATTCACAGGACCTGGAAAAAACACATGACTCCTTGTCATGTATAACCAGGGAATTGAAACCATATACCACCCTTATGATATAACCCACACATGCTAAAAATTTGGGTATCAAACACCCCATTCCCTTCTGAAACTTAATTACAACAAACACTGTCAATAAAGTATCTAAATTTTATTTAGAAAACAGATATAAAAATATACATAGTCTATATAGCACTATTATTTTCTTTTGGGACTAACATATGGTTTAATTTTATTTCAATAATTCACTTGCACGTAGGGGTCTTTAGCAGTGGGGGGAAACCGAAGGACCCGGAGAAAACCCACGTGGTTGGACAGGCGACCTTACTCCTTGTCACGTACAACTGGTGATTCGAAACCACGCCAGTTGACTCAATGACAGGCTTCATGATACAGCGTGCATGTGCTAACCATAAATGATACCAACTAGGTCATTTTGGGACTAACATTTGGGTTAATTTTATTTCAATAATTCGCTTGCGCATAGGGGTCTTTAGCAGTGGGAGGAAACCGGAGGACCCAGAGCAAACCCACGAGGTTGGACAGATGGCCCTTCCCCTTGTCACATTCAACCAGGGTTCGAAACCACGCCAGTTGACTCAATGACAGGCTTTGTGATAGAGCGCGCAGGTGCTAACCATTCAGCCATTCAACCCCCCTTATGAAAATGGATGATAAAACATATAACAAAAAAATTCAATAACAAGAATACAAGTACTGTGATGAACAAACCATTACTATATACATGCACAATTTCATTCAAACATACATCGATATCAAAAAGCAAAAAAGGGGAACAATTAGCACTATAAAGGATACCCCCCCCCCCCCCAACCCAAAATTAAACTACGAAAATAAAAAAAATATGAATCCATAATATAAAAAGTACCGTGATGAACAAACCATTACTATATACATGCACAACATAAAATAACAACATCATTACAGAGAAATTTCATTCAAACATACATTGATATCAAAAAGCAAAAAAGGGGAACAATTAGCACTATAAAGGATACCCCCCCCCCCCCCAACCCAAACCCAAAATTAAACTACGAAAATAAAAAAAAATATGAATCCATAATATAAAAAGTACTGTGATGAACAAACCATTACTATATACATGCACAACATAAAATAACAACATCATTACAGAGAAATTTCATTAAAACATACATTGATATCAAAAAGCAAAAAAGGGGAACAATTAGCACTATAAAGGATACCCCCCCCCCCCCCCCCAACCCAAACTTAAACTACGAAAATTAAAAAAAGAGAATCCGGTATATACAAAGTTTTGAAAATTTTCACCTATCCAATATATTAAGACCATCAAACAAGGGAGATAATCAGAGCTAGTGAATAAATTACCAACAAAATACACATGCAGAAAAAAATTATATATTTACAAAATGACCTTTTTCATTCTTTCTGGCGCATAACGAAGCCAATTTTTAATGCATTCATTGATTTCTAAGTCTGTTGCATACCTGGTCATCGGATTTTTTCGTACAGCTCCTGAAAAAAATTTATGAAATAATTTAACACTCTTCCACATAATGGGGGGTGGGGGTGGGTGGCAAGGTTAGCACGTGCATGCTGTATCACAACGCCTGTCATTGAGTCAACTGGCATGGTTTTGAATCCCTAGTTGTACGTGACAAGGAGTAGGGTCGCCTGTCCAACCTTGTGGGTATTCTCCGGTTTCCTCCCACTGCTAAAGACCCAGACGCGCAAGCAAATTATAGCAATAAAATTAAATCATGTTAGTCCCGAAATGACCTAGCTTGTGTCGAGTGGACATTAAATCCCATTTCTCTCTCCCATATTGCACATATTGCACTATCTGTGTTCTGTATGCATCGTTGTGAATTAGAGTACTCAAACTCTACTGAAACACCTACATACTATATTTATCATCTCAGGACCTTTATAAATTTAAAGCCAAGCTGGTATTAATTTTAGCCGCTAGGGTGTCTGTAAGCAGAGAGGGGTGATGATTGTAAAACTAGTTACTTACTTTCAATAATGTCTTTAAAAATCAGTGTAGAAAAAGCTGTTTTGTCCCCCTTTCCCTTCCAATTGTAATGAGTAGCGAGTGTATCGGTAAACAAAACTTTCATTATTCTTTTTGTCACTTCTTTTGCATTTGTACCCCCAATGGTACTCAAATGTAAGATCTGTAAAAACAAAAGTGATATTTTTTTATAGAAATGTTTAAATTTTTCACTGGCAGCAATTGCTTGTAAATTAGAGACTGTAAAGAGGATGACAGTATGAACAAATATCCAAATTCAGGCTAATAGCACTTATGCTTTTACTATCGCATTTATTTATCACTCTCTATTATATTTTGGGTATTGCTTTCATCTAGGTGTATTGAAATTACCGGTAATGTAACTCGTGAAAATTTTAATGAACAAAATAAACTTACCAAACTCTCTTTTGTGCTCTTGTCTTTCAGCGACATCATTACACCATTACATTCTACGATTGTACTCATAGGCAATTTAAGTGATGCTGGGAGTTCTAATTCTGGTCCAGCGACACCAGCAACAATCAAAAGTTGGTTTAATTTTCCAGTTTGCTCCCGTTGGGTTTTCTCCATATCGTCCATCCTTTGGTTTATTTTTTCCAGCATTGTAATTATTTGCAACATGTAAGCTGAAAGAATAAGATAACATTGACAAATTTTCCGGTGCATCCTTACCTACATGTACTTTGCTACGGTTTGTTAATATGACTATTTGTTAAGAAATGAAATGGGATTTAACGTCTTACTTTTCTGCATCGAATGGGCGAATGATGACAGACATGATATACATGTACAATATACAAATTTTGCCCAGTGCTATGGCCTACTATTTTTCTAAATACCAACTGTCAAGGGTTTTCGGGACTTTTATGTCATCCGGACAACTTGATACTTTTTCATACCAGGCACCACCCGTGAAAATCCCTAGGAACTCTCGGTTAACACTGAGAACAAATCCTACACCTGGTTATTGAGCAAGTACCTTACTAACTGAGCCTCTGCCAGCCATATTTACCTTTCACCTAAACAAAAATTGTCATTTCAACACTTCTCTTACCTGGTGCTACTGGTTTGGGTGCTATTGGTCGTTCAGGGGCTGCTAATGGGGTGGAGCTAATTAGGCCAGCACCTGAAATTCAATAGTATTCACACCCTGAATATATAATGTATGCAAAAAAAGGAAATGACTAATTCTACAGTCTACTCTTTCATATAATTAACTCTCGATGTCAACTTATGTGTCAGATTTTCACTGAAATTGAATCCAATCTGCTGCTCAATGCTCATTGGTGATTAAATCCAAATATGGATAATCAAGACTATGTTTTTGTTACCATATCAACTTTAGTAATGATGATCGAGGCTAGGCTTAAAATTCAAAAGCTAATATACATGTATCGGTTCTGAGTGGAACTGAAATTTTCAATTATGTATCTTTCACTTAATTTTTATGTTATGGCTATTGAAGTTTGTAATAATATTAGCTTTCCGTTTCATTATTGATCACTATTGAAGTGTGATATTACCTGTTGTAAATTGTCGTCTAATTTGCTCTACTGACCGCTGAGGTGTAGATGGTGTCACTGGCGAGTTCATGCCTATACAATGCAAGAAACAATAAAACAAATATATAACTGTTTTATAAGCATTAGTTACATGTATTTCTTTTTTAAAAAATTAATAATCCATCCAATTTGCTTCATTTAGAGCATTCACTATCATTTTTACTTATTAGGCATATTAATGTCTTACTTAATCTGGAAGTGTTTATTTTTGGTGGTGATGGGTGTTTTTGGTGCTCATCTTCAGAATCACTGGAGGATTCAATGAACCGAATAGGTTGCCTGAAATAATAAATTTAATAAATTGTAAACAATGAAATCTTCTAGTTCAGTCCACTGCATGAACTATTATCCATGAATAGTCTCAAATGGTTCATAATAAATGTCATAATTTTTAATCAAAAAAGCTTCAACATTTACATTCCTGAAGTAATATGCCTCAAGCATCACATAAATAATATTTTAAAATATACCTTCTTTTCCTCGGCTGGATCTCTTCCACATCTGATTCAACTTGCGAGGTTTCTTCTGCCCTTGCCACTCTTTCTCTTGCTTTGCTGTAGTCACCTACAATAAATATGTAATATATAAATGCTATACAAATTGAACATTGTTACCAGACAAATCTTTTTAAAGAAGAATTTACTTTGATGTATTCTGATTTTTGTGAAGACAAGTCAATAATTCATATCAAATTATGACATTATCTTTGGTTTACTTTTGACATTAACAGCACTCATCCAAGGAAAAATACATGCATATACTGCGCCATAAAGACTTACTGGTCTCTGAGAATTTGCGAACTTTAAGTTTCAGCCAACTTTCATCTGCTTCCACACAGTTGATGACACACTTATTCAATTTACTGGCATTCTTAAATGGTGGCCAAAAACAGAATCCATTTGGCAACACCCAGTCAGCATTTACAACCGCAACTTCATGATCATCAAGGAATTCAACAACTGCATACATTTTAAACTGTAAAATAATACAAGTATAAATTTAATTGCTTAAAATTACAGATTGTAACATGAAGTCTATAATACAGAGGTGACAGCATCTTTTGATGTTGGGGTACCATTATTTCAAATAATGGTATGTGCAATGTGCCAAGCCTACATTATTTATACTAGTTTAGGATAACAAAAATAGGTCATCTCGGAACTACATGTAATATATGGGTCAATTTATTTAAGGGGATTTTACCCGTGGGATTAAACCGGATTACCTGGAGAGAACCCACAAGGTTGGACAGACTACCCTGTCCACCTGGAAATTGAAACCATGTTACTCAATGACAGCCCTTAATCCATGCCCCCCACCCACTCCCACAGAAATCATTAGGTTAAGACTAGAGGATTTGTTTCAGAGTTGCATGTACATGTATCTCGGTTTCCTGAAATCCTTGTGACCTATAGGAATACTTTTTCATTTTCAAATTGAAAATAACAGTTAACAGTATTCATAACAGTTAACAGATTCTTTTCATAGCAAACATAAAGTCGAAAGAACAAATCATGTATAGTTTGCTTAATATAGTTTTACATTTATTACAATCATAGTCTTATATCATGTGTTTGGACTATTTACAGTAATATACATGTATATATAATAATTCATACATATTTTCAAAGTTTTGATGTTAAATTTACAATTACAGTACAATGTACGTGTACATTAGCTTAAAGATGCATTAACATTAAAACTTAAACTGCCTACAACAGGTCTTTTATTTAGATTCAAGAATCAAATATTGAATGAATTATGTACATTATTTACACAACAAGCCAATAATGTAGACCACTGGGTGAATTTTAAGGCCTTGGTTGCCGAGTACATGTACATGTACCATTGCTATGATAATGAACAATCTAGCTACATGTAGATATTTTCAAATGCTCATAGGTTTGCTCAGAATAAAGTAATTTGAATTCAATTTTTCATTAATTATGAACCATTATAGAAGGAACAGACAGCTCTCAATCATACGTTCATATAATGCATCTTTATACATGATTTAGAGGTATAACTACGTACTTCTTTTTAAATGGAAGCATAACATATTTGTTTTTTATTTCATTTAATTTTTTTGATGAAAAATTTGCACATAACTCAGATACAACATAAATACCTATTTTTGAAGAGTTAATGGGATATTCGAAAAAATTACATTGTTGATTAAATTTCTGATAGATCAAAAGTATTTCATCTCCTGAACAAACAATATTTCTAATCAAGCCAATATCACCCCCTATGTTAGCACAATTGTTCGGCTCATTAATTGATAGCATAAAGCCATTTAACTTCACTTCCCGAAAATGATTCTGGACATGCATATTTAATGGTGTGAATCCATTTCGATATTCTTTACGTAGCTGTGGGGGCGATGATTTAGGGGTAGGACTTGTAGCATAGTTTAATTTTTCATCTAGCCTTCGAACAATTTGTTCAAGAACATTTGACGGTTTTCGCACTAATTTTACCAGGCTGCCTAAATAATTTTCAAATGGAAAGGCAGATATGTTATTTAACGAACCATAATTAATAGCATCATCAGGTAAATGTATCAAATTGTGAACATTGTATACAACTAAATCGGATCCATATATGGCAGAAAAATGTTCCACAAACATGACTAATAATTCTTTTATAAGATCATTGTATTCAGTGCACATCGTTTTGTGGAGTAACATATAGATACTGACCGATAAAAGCAAAAAGTTCTTATACATGGCATCAGGTATATTACCGAATAAAACAATAGGACCGGTGTATAGTAAAAATTGGCGAAATTCAGTGGCTTTCCACCTTTTCAGTTCATTCAGGGTTCTTGGATTTCTAGCAAATTCACATGGCACACAGTTTTTAAGTTTTTCTAAAAATTGAGATATTAGATTTATTTTTGTAGCGCTTTGTCTTGTTCTTAACGGTCCTTTTGCCCACAACAACAATAGTCTTTTCATAACACCCAAGCACACCAAATGCATGTAGTCCAATGGAAACTGACTGACCATACCAAATCCTTGATTGGCCAAAGGAGAGGGTCCATGATGGTGATCTTCATCAACCATTTCATTGAAGGCTACGTCAGTTCTTAAAGCTGAATTGACTTCAGGGAAGGTCATCCTTCCATTGGACCACACACCTGACTGTATACAACGCTCACACGAATGGTACCCAGTGTGGGACTTGATATTCTTGATGAGGGATCGAGCAGGGGCATCACAAATAAATGCATTTATCTCAACTCTAAATTGTGATTCATTGGCCAGAATTGAATTGTACTCCTCTAAAAACTCTGACAGAAATTCTAGACTTTTTGGTTTTGTGGTTGAATAAAATAGCCCAATTACAAAGGGGTCAGAGACAAATGGTTTTTGTATCTTTCCTAGAATGGGCCAAAATTGTCCGTTAGTGCTTTTAAATAATGGGACCCCATCAACATTAATTTGGATGCTTATTAGATCTTCCTTCAGACATTCATTCAGTTTTAAATAGGGTTCAAGACCTTTGGCAATACCAAAATGATAATAAGAACCACTTGACACAGAATTGATTAATGGGGATACTTTGTTTGTTGATAATGTTTGAAGTAGTGTTCTTGCATCTTTGGGAAGATTTGGGTATTTTTTCGAAAGAATTTTCAACAAAGAAGAAAGTGCTGAATGTGTAATGTTGTGTTGCATAGCCCAGTTAGCAATTAAATCTTCTATATCAATGTCAGAATCAGTACATGTACTTGTACAAGATGTATTATCACTATCAATTTCATCGCTAAAGTCAGCATTACATGTAAGTTCGTTAGCAAAGTTAGTTTCTCGGAAGTCACGTAATTGGGTATCTTGTACATGCAGGTTTTCATTGGCTGTTGTTTCAGAGTTTAATTCAATTGTGGTTATGTGTCGGTTTACATTCTCATTGAGGCGTCTACGCTTTGTCCAATATGACATCTTGATTCTTTATTGGATTGTATTGATTATTAATGTGTATCATATATCAAATGTACCTACGTCAAGGTGTTTATATTTCCACTTCTTTCTTGAAATAATATTCTCTTTTCGTTCTTCCTCAAAGAGTAATGAAGTGTCCTATAAAAGAAATTGTTCAAATTAAAAAAAGACATGTAACAGTATAATGAAATGAAATGAAGTTTAACAATTTGCTCCTAAACTGAGCTGATGAAGATGGGCATACGCAATACAGTGTGCTATGACAGGACGCTACGTCCTACTCATCGAATTCCAACTGCCAAAGGATTTTTCACGTGCAATACCAATTTGTACACGGGACCTCCATTTTTCGGTCCATCCGAACGACTCGACAGCTGTCATTGTCCTGCATCACTGACAAGGGGATACCACACCAGAAAATCTGGATGAACTTTCTCGGCCAATGCAGGGTTAGTCGCATATGTTTACTTTTTTCGGTAATAAAACATTTATAATACACTAAAATCTGATTAAGAGTAACAAGTCATTAAGTAATATCCGAAAATCATTAGAATTTGTTTGGCTTTCATATATTTTCCCTTCCCACCTGCTTGAAATGGTAGCACATATATCTTCCCTTTCCCCCTGCTTGAAATGGTAGCACGACATTTGTGTATATTTAGTAATACTTCATTGTTTTTCTTTTATCAAATAGTAAACGAGCTTGATTGACCGATCAATGCTAATGTTTTTCGTAAAACAGAATAATTGCAATCAACACACGGCCGCCATTCTCAATGATTGACAACTCACAGTTTTCATCATCCACCAAAGAACAATAATGTTTCTTAGCACATAATACAACATCTGGATTATCGGTTGTCCCGTTTCTAATATTTTCCACAAAAAAACTTGCTTTGTTTAGGCCTGGGGAGGAATGCATGTCAACGTGCCGCTTACAGATGGTTAACAAAGTTTTGTAAAAAGAGAACATGTCGTGTAAATATTTACTTTTGTTTTTGTGTAGGTCATTGTCAAATAAATTCATCAGCATATTATTCTTTTTTAACAAATATATTACTTTACGAGAAACAATGATTATCAAAGAACCGCAAGTGGAAATGTTTTAACGTTTGGTGTAGCATTTTTAATAACCATGTGTTTCATGTTAATAAATATTTTTCTTCATGTTTTGAATTTGCCTATTTCTAATAAAGTCATCAGCAACTTTTCTATATACATGTACATATTACAGATATAAAGAAATAAATCGTTCTTTTCGTAATCATTCAACGTGCTGTATTTGATGACGAGCGGTAATTTTACTTGCATGTTATTTTTTTTAAAATCGTTTTTGGCTTATTATAAATGGATTTGACAGTCCGAGGCGTCACCTATACCCAAGTCCAAATGTCACCTACCCGAGTCTGTAACGTCAAGGCCATATTTTTGGGGGGGTGAAAGGAGTACGGTAACCTAAACGGATGTCAACTGTTTCGGAACCTGGCTGTTTCGTATTTAGTTCATTCGTACCTCACATGACTGTTACTTACTTCACTTCGTAAGTTCGTACCTCAAATTGATTTGTACCTTTTCCCGTGTTGTTGAAATCAGTTAAAAGAAATTGAAATAAAGGTGAAACGATTTGATCAAATCAAACGGCTACGCTAAATTTATAAAATTGCTGCCGAACCAGAATTAGAATATATGCATGAGATTTGTATCTCAAACTGATGAGTTATTTTCCTAAATGCGGTTGAAAGAAATTGAAACATAATTAAACGATTTGAACAAATTAGCTACAATGATTTAATAACAAAAAACGAATTTCCTGCATTGATAATTACATGAATATGAAACATTTAAGTCATATACCACAGTCTGTTAAAATATTAAAAAGAACATTTTTTTTATAAAAATGGCTCCCGAACGAGATTAGCTACAATGATTAAATAACAAAAAGCGAATTGTATGCATTGATAATTCCATGAGTACACATATATCTTTTAACTGTTTTTAACCGCTTAAACAACCACCAATTAATTATTAATAATCACAAATCACAGGTCACTCAACAGAATGGGTTCAATAATTATTATAATTTTTCCGTAATTTGATTGGATTTGTAATAGTCCATTGATGTAAGTCTTACAAATGTAGAACATATTAATGAAGCAATAATGTATAGGTATAGACATATTTCTGTTTAAAAGAAGACAAATGACAATGCCCGGGTTTAAATAACAGAATTACCCCATGATATAATCATATAACCGTACATGTACATGTACGGTCCATGATATATATAACAGATCAAAGACACGCGTACGCCAATCTTCACACCTTATCGAGACTTGCTGCAGTGTTCTATTTTTAGGCTCCAATAACCCAACCATATCATATACATGTAGCACGCAGTTTCAACTTACAATGAGTTCAGTTGATTTAAGGATTATTAAATGAAACAAGCGAAACCGACGATATGGATCTGACTACAGTGACCATTGGCTAGCGCTCAGAAGAGGATCTTTTAGTAATACATTATGCGTCGCATTTTGGAATTCTCAGTCTATTTAATCGTTTAATTATGTTTCGCCTTTATGTCAATTTCTTTCAACTCATTTCAACCACATTTAGGAAAAGAAACTCCTGGTAATTAGTTTGAAGTACCAATCTCGTGCATATTCTAATTGGTTCGGCATATTCAATTTCTTTCAACTGATTTTAAAAACATAGGAAATGGTACGAAGTGGAGTATGAAACGCTCATGTGAGGTTTGTTACTTTAGTAACGTAAATTGTATCGGCTCTGCTCTCTACTACGTTACTGTCAGCTCCTAATGACAACTAGTATGAAAATACGGCTTTTCCCCTATCTCGGTTCTAAGACAATTTTGGAATCCTCACCGTCTATTTTTCACCGTGATTCTTCTTTGGTCGCTAAAAGGAAAAATTTCTTGCAACATCCGACACAAATTTATAAAAATCCAACTCTATTTCCATTCCTAAATTTGGAATATTGGCTGAGCGTTAGTTTGAACATGGCGGCCCAATTCAAATGAAAGTTGTTTATGTTTTTGTATCGCGTAATTCTACATGAAAATAGTCTTGGATTTGTATAAATTTGTGTTGGATGTGACAAGAAATGATTCCTTTTGGCGACCAAAGAAGAATCACAGTGAAAAATAGACGGTAAGGCCAAGGGTTCCAAAATAGCCTTAGAACCGAGATGGGGAAAAGTCTTATTTTCATACTAGTTGTCATTAGGAGCTGACAGTATCGTAGTAGAGAGCAGAGCCGATACAATTTAGGTTACTAAAGTAACTAATTTGAGGTTTGAATGAACTATGAACTAAGCGCGAAACAGGCTGCACCTACCAAACTGTTATTCTACCATGTTTCATGTTAATTCATTGGAAAACAAATTACCACTTTTGGGACCAGATTTCGATTTCGGACCGAATCAAAATTAATAAAAATTCCAATTAAAAAATGTATAAGCCCGATTCTAAAATTTAAATGGTTTTGAAATTCTAATATTTGGGCAATTATTTCTGCCAATTAGTTTCAAAGCAATTGCTTAAATATATAATATATAAATACAAAATCTATAATATGTTTATGTTTACGAATCACAAATTCTACTTGAAAATAGTGTTGGATTGTTATAAATTTGTGTCAGATGTCGTGACAAATGATTCCTTTAACATTTAATTAAAAATAATTGTGAAAGCATCTGAAAATAATGACTTAAAAATTGTCTTAAAACATCGATCCACTAGTTTGGGTAGAACGATGTTTTGATAATTTCACATCGCTGAATTTGTAATCTATATAAGAAGTAACTTACCTTCAAATATAACTCGCTCAACTATAACTGGTATAACTATAATATATCTTGTTCTCCTCTATGTAATCCAAGTAATCTAAGTAATCCAAGTAGCTGTAAATTGTAAATTTTTCTCGCAATCCGCGAATTATATTCAACATGCGCGCCATATTGTTAAAATAACATTCCCAGCATACCCCGTTTCCGGATCAAGAGTTGTGAAAGCTGAGTACAAATAAACCAATGAAAATCAGTTTAATAATGATTGAGTTCAATCAATGTCGACAATATACTCAAACAGACAACACACGTAGACCCGCTAACATTTAAATCTGTCAACAGAAATAACATAATATATCGATGTTGGCGAAATCAACAGTAATCTAATTGTATTGACTAATTTATCTTGACCATGACCTCCCGACCCTTTATCACGTGGTTCACCCTCCAAAATGGCGCTATAATACGTTTTTGATATTGTGATAATGGATAATATCCGACTATGGACTGTACACACTAGAAGATGTTATACTTAGACTATAACTACGTAATATCATATGTATAGTAATTACTATTACATTGCGAATAGGTCCCTACTTCAAATTTATCGGCATTTTTTATTTTTATACTTTTCCGAGTCTTTATATTATATAGGTCAAAGGACAACATATTCGTTCCACTGGACAACTGGTCACTGTACCTTGTGAAGGCTGTTATAACTTATATAAGGACTAAATTAAATATATTTTAAGTGGTTAAAAAACGTTTGTTCTACACAGAACAAACTGTACATGCATATAAGATAAGAAAATAATATCTAAATTTATGTAAATTTGGACCGAAAGGCACGTACATGTAAGGCATATGTACATTGTACATGTTTGAATTATGGACCGCAAATAATAGTTAAAAGCCCCGTATTTCACCAAATATAGCTGATCTTTGCATTATATTTAAAAACAAAAACAAAAACATTGAAACATGGGGAATTTGGAGTACCGGGTATTAAGACTAAAAAAAATCAAGATTATAAAATATTATAAGCTTTGACTACATAATATATTTTGTTTTATTAATTGTAATACAAAATACACTTACAAAAATATGTAGGCCTCTAAATCATTAAAATTCATGCTGCAGTATGATAATTTATATTTGCTTATTGTGGAAGTTAGTCAATTTATTAAATTGATTATAAACTATCCACATTCATGGTAGGCATAGACGTATATACGCTTCCCATAAATTGACATTCAGACTGGGCAAAGAGATTTTTTAAAAAATTATGTAATATTTTGTAAATTATATTAACTTCTAGTTTGGCGCCAGACTACATGAGGCCAAGCAGAGAAATATTCCAGAGTACTGTATATTTCATACATCATACAGTGTGCTATGAGGGAAATTTTGCCTGGGCAGCGGCGCTACGGCCTAGCTACTCTTATATCGAATTCCAACTGCCAAGGGATCTTTTACGTGCAAGCCAATGTGTACACGGGACCTCGGTTTTTCGTTCCATCTGAACGACTAGACAGCTGACCTTGTCAGGCCTTCCGTATATAAGTCGAAGCGGTACATTTGACCAATGTTTGTCAACTCCACGGCAGCAATCTATTATAAAGGGGGGCGGGAGTTGGATGGCCGAAAGGTTGAATGGTTAATTTAGCACGTGCGTGCTTCATCATAAAGTCTGTCATTGAGTCAACTGGCGTGGTTTCGAATCCCCGGTTGTACGTGACAAGGAGTAGATCGCCTGTCCAGCCTCGTGGGTTTTCTCCGGGTCCTCCAGTTTCCTCCCACTGCTAAAGAGATAAAATTAAACCATATGTTAGTCCTGAAATGACCTAGTTTGTGTCGAGTGGACGTTAAACCCGGTTTCTCTCTCTCTATTATTAAGTTACTGGACTGTTATCCTAGTGTAATATAATACTGTGCCGGTGTACTCCCCCCCCCCCCAAAAAAAAAAAATTGGCTCATAAAACAAAATAGGTCTACGAAACAACAATCAGTTTATAAATGTTTAATATTCCAAGTTGTGGTCTTGATTCATTTGATTTTAATACATCCAATAACTTTAAGACAATGCAGACTCCGTATTTATAATCACACGTGTTTATAAAATATGTTACTAAAAATAAAATAAAACAATGCAGTATAGTATGATTGGTTAATTTTACTGAAAACTTAAAGTAGACATCTCGCAAGAAGCGTGAAATTCTGAGAAACGGAAACGTGCCATTTTTATACGCCCACATTTTCATGTGGACGTATATTGTCGTCGCCTCTGTCCGTCCGTGCACAATTGTTTGTGGGTACTCAACAGGTCACAATTCTTATCCGATTTTGACAAAACTTGAAATATGGGTTTATCTCCAAAAAATCTCGGCTGCTTTCGATATTGGCATGTATCGGATCGAAACTTCATGGATTATGGCCCCTGTTTGTACGAAAAATCAGGTTTTTAGTTTGTGGACCCTTTAGAGGTCATAATTTTTATCCGATTTAAAAAACTGTATTATTATATCACCGTTACACCCTAATCACGTTACACCCTAAGGTCGACCGAGTTCGAATTTCGTGAAAATCGGCCCAAAATTGACAGACAAAACTGCCGCCGTTCGTTCTCAAATAGCGTAAAAATAAGGTATATCAAGGTTGTGGACCCTATAGAGGTCACAATTTTTATCCAATTTTGTCGAAACTTGAAATGTAAGTTTATATCCCAAAGATCTTGGTTCCTTTCGATATTCGCGCATATCGGACTGTAACTTCCTGAATTATGGCTCCTGATTGTACAAAAAGTCACGTTTTTAGCTTGTGGACCCTATAGAGGTCATAATTTTTATCCGATTTAAAAAAACGTATTATTATATCACTGTTACACCCTAAGGACGGCTGAGTTCGAATTTCGTGAAAATCGGCCCTAATTTGACAGACAAAATGGCCGCTGTTCGTTCTCAAATAGCGTAAAAATATGGTGTATCAAGGTTGTGGACCCTATAGAGGTCACAATTTTTATAAGCCCACATTTTCATGTGGACGTATATTGTCGTCGCCCCTGTCCGTCCGCCCAGAATTGTTTGTGGACTCTCTACAGGTCACAATTCTGATCCGAATTTGACGAAACTTTAAATATAGGTTAAAATTAGGTTTATCCCCAAAAGATCTCGGCTGCTTTCGGTATTGGCATGTATCGGATCGAAACTTCATGGATTATGGCCCCTGTTTGTACGAAAAATCACCCTATAGAGTTCACAATTTTTATCCGATTTTGTTGAAACCTGAAATGTAAGTTTATCACCCAAAGATCTCGGTTCCTTTTGATATTCGCGCATATCGGACCGTAACTTTCTGAATTATGGCCCTTGATTGTACGAAAAATCATGTTTTTAGCTTGTTGACCCTATAGAGGTGATAATTTTTATCCGATTTAAAAAAACATATTATTATATCATCATTACATCCTAAGGATGGCTGAGTTTGAATTTCATGAAAATCGGCGCAAAACTGACAGACAAAATGGCCGCAGTTCATCCTCAAATAGTGTAAAAATATGGTATATCAAGGTTGTGGACCCTATAGAGGTCGCAATGTTTATCCGATTTTGTTCAAACTTGAAATGTAAGTTTATAACCCAAAGATCTCGGTTCCTTACGATATTCGTGCATATCGGTCCGTAATTTCCTGAATTATGGCCCCTGATTGTACGGAAAATCACGTTTTTAGCTTGTGGACCCTATAGCTGAGGTCATAATTTTTATCTGATTTAAAAAAACGTATTATTATATTACTGTTACACAATTAGGACGGCTGAGTTTGAATTTCGTAGATTGTCTTAGATCTTTGATAATTCTGAACGGATAATCTTGGAACTTGACATATTTATTCCTTATACTTTAGGTATAGCAACTATTTGTTATGGGTCATGCCCAGAACCCCAGGGGTGGTGCCACACCCACTGTTTTTGTCTTTGTAAACACTTTACAGGTTGCATTTATAACAGATTTTGTTCAAGTTGTGTACCAAAATGCTTAAAATTTAGAATTTTGGTAACTTTATTGGATTAATTAATCCTGACGTATGTTTTAAAACTAATTTTAAATTATGGTTCGATAATTAATGATTAAAAACTAACAGTAATTTAATTGTTAGTATCCTGACATTAATCTGACATTCGTTTTACGTTAGATTTATGCTAGAAAACTAATGCTAGATTTACGCTATTACTAACAATAGATGTACATTAGAAAATTAACGGTTAAAATTCTGACATAAAACTAACGTTATATTAACGTTAGAAAATTAACGTTACATTAACGTTAGAAAATTAACGTTACATTAACGTTAGAAAATTAACGTTACATTAACGTTAGAAAACTAACCATAAACTAACGGTCAGAATCCTGACGTAAAATTTACGTTAGATTAACGTTAGAATTATCACCAATATTACATATGTCATAATTATGTCTGGATTTCAACTATTGATCAATTGTTATAATTTATGCACATTGGTATGGCGATTTAATTTACAAATATTAGAAGCGAAAAAATTGGTTAGAAAACCGTCATAAAATTTACGTTAGATTTACGTCATTTTCTGACGTAAAAGTAACCATAACCATTCTGACGTAAAAGTAACGTAAATTTAACAGTAAAATTTTACCGTTATTGGACGCTAACCTAAATCTGACCAAAATGACGTAAATATAACGTAAATCTAACCATCAATGTTAAGTGGGTATTGCATACGAATATAGTTGCCACGTGTTCTTGTTATGTGTCTGTCATTTTAAACATCTGTTGTCTATGTGTAATTCAATATTTTGTTATTGATATAATTGTGTTAATACTTCTCTTGCATATCTGTTTCTATATATCGTATTGTAACCTTAGTCTATATCGTATTGTAACAACAGTCTGTTGTGAAATGGGAGCCATGGTGGCTCAGTGCCTAGGGTGTTGGTCCGCTAATAAGGAGGTCACGTCTTCTATCCCTGTGTTGGCCGAGAAAGTTCATCGAGATTTTCTAGCGTGGTCCCCCGTGATGTAGGACGGAGGGCCTGACATTGGATAGACATTGGCGTGCACGTAAAAGAACCCTCGACAGTCGGAATTCGAAATAAGAGTATGACATAGCGCCGCTGTCCGGGCAAAATTTCACTCATAGCACACTGCATGACATATGCCCGTTTTCATTATCCCGGTTGGAGCACAACAGGACGTTAACCCCCATTTTTGAAACGTATGGTCATTGTGTAATGAAATACATGGAGCTTCATACCCTTCTTCACAAACCGGGATAACAAAGCCGGGCATATGCCATGTACATTCTGAACATCTGAGACACGCTACCTGCGGAGAAGTATCTCAGACACAGTCAGTAGCCATGATATCCATATCACGTAATCTACACATCACAGATCATGATATTGGCGTCAATGGGTCAAGAGGTCAACATTGTAAACAATAGGTTTATCTTCAGCATTGTGTCCGTTGCACCCATAAAGACTATATAATTCGTACAGTCCCAACATGTTCTCTCTTCTTCCAATGATTTTTCACAAAAATAACATCTACAACTCATAGAATTGACGTTGTCTTCAATGACAGCGTCTGCGAGGGTTGTTCATAGAGGCTGTCATATTGCACTATTTTGTGCGTCGGTCGGGTCTATTTCAGATATACACAATCAATTCTGTTGATGTTTTTAGCGTTGGTATTGACTAATAGTTAATGTGTTTCAGTTCTAAAACAAATATTTTAAACTTTAACGCAAATTTAGAAAATAGCCAAATTCTGGCTGGAATTACTGAGCAAAATGGCCATTCACTGTATACGTGCGAAAAAAAAGCTAGCCACCAATTAATTTTCGTACGTTAGTTACGTACGATGCCATGTACTGTGATCAGGGTAATTTGGCGTGGACTGTGGCGTTTCCGCCTACTCAGACAGTCAATGGTTATTTTACGTGTAAGTCAACGTGTACACCACACCCCGATTTTTTGTCCCATCTGAATGACGAGATGCCGTGCCTTACCAGGCACTCTCTATTCTGCATCATTGACATCGCTATTGTCTCTTTACCCGTTTGTGAACAGTGGTTTAATAAAACGTACCTTGAGCTATCGTCGTTAGAGCTGAAATTCGCTATAATTCCCAGACTACAGCACTGCGACAGCTGCATACAAAGTAAAATAAAATCGCTAGAATTGTAATTAGTTTGCCGCCTCATCTTCTAAAAATAATTAAAATTCTTACCCTATAAAAGTGATAATTCCCACTTGTGATATGTCTTCTCTCATCGTAGACCAGGATTTCTCCAGAATCTGTTTCTGTGCGGCTGTTATTGAGGGAGGTCCCTGCTTTAGTCTCTTTGCTATTTTCGAGCCTTTCAATCTCGCTTTTAATTTACCTTGCTTAGCACCCATTTTTCCTTTTCTTAAATTATACGTCTCTTTTAAAGCTAGGAATCTAAACAAAAGTTCTCTAGTGTTATCCTATTATTCTGGTAAATTCTTCCTTCATGAAATTATGCGCAAAATAACACGATTTATGAGCATTCTCTATTCATGAACGCTCGCGGATTTTTGACTTCAGTCCAACGACGAAATTTAATTGAGTGTAAATTACAGCAAAAAAATGTCGAAGCACGAACAATAACACATGCTATCTGGGTAAATTCACGTCAACTACTCTTATTATGTTTTCTATCTGAGCAGCAGCCCACTAATCCTATAAATATCCTTTATCGCTTCATTTGTTAAGTCGAGTCAATTCAAGATACACAATTATAACACATTGCTCATAATTACCTTTAGCCAATAAAAGATTCTCTCTTAACAGTCTTTGCAATCGATTGATTTTGTTCCAAAGATGAACACTCGCTATGTTTAATCCGCTGGAAACGGTTTAAACACTACAGCAGCAAACAGCGTGATTCAATATGAACACGCTATTTTAAAAACACCCTGATAAAAGTTTTACACTATACACTTAGTCTCAACGATCTGTTATTAATATCAACTATGATAAGTTCGCAATCGATCAATAGGTGTTAATATTCACTTTAAGTGATAAAAGTTTGAGTTTAAAAACAATGCGCTAAGTTCGAACGATCTGTTGTTATGTTTCCAATCGACTGATAGCTGTAAATATCCACACTATTAGAAAATCACGACCGTTTTATGCTCGACATTCGCGCATACTAGTGTACACATCCACTATGAATTGTTTGAATTCTGAAGACGAACACGTCATGTGCAGAAATATCGGAATATCACAAGCCCCCTGTGTAGTAGAATACTGTTAGTTGTTCCACTCTGACTTCTACATCAATGATAGTGGGAACCTGTCTGTCAGTCAATTGATCTACATATAATCATTATAACTGGAAGATTGAGAATATTCCATTCTGTCGATTTATAAATCCTGTACTCACGAAAAAGTATCTGGAAAAATGTAAAATGAAAAGATTTGAGTTTTATTGGGGGGGGGGGGGGGGTATATATACACTATTAAAAACGTCCATGTTAATTTACATAAATTGTTCTCATAATACACAACATATACACGTATAACGTACGTGAACAGAATTGAAAAGGTTATTGGCGTGCTACTTTTCTGCATAAATCATTCGAATAACATAGAACAAATATAACCCAAGATCCGGAACTGAAATGAAATGGGGTTTAAGGTCCTACTTTTTTGCACCAACCGGGATAATGAGGACAGACATATGACATGCAATGTGCTATGCAGGAAATTTTGCCTGGACAGCGGTGTTTCCGCCTAAACCCTTTCTCGAATTCCAACTGTCAAGGGTTCTTGTTTATGCCCAACGTCATATATTTCTGTTGTCTTATCCAATCTTCTAGAAAAGATTCCTAGCCAGGGTTACTGACAGTGACAAAAGAAAAATATGATAAAAGGGTTCCTTAAAGTCCCCATACTGCCCGGCGGCCAAAAATCGTGTTCTTTATTTAAATAGCAATAAAAACTAAACATGGGTTAGATGATAACTTAATACATCGACGGACGATCTTATGACTAGAGACAAACGTGATGACTGCATGAAATCAATATAAAATAGATGGCCATAACTTCCGTTAAATTTTAGGACCAATATTTTTTTTATAATAAGAATATTTAAGACTGGCCTCCTCAATAAATCAGCTTAACACGCGCACTACAAACGGTTCATTTAATTATTTTTATGGGGAAACTATGACACAAGCTAGGCCATTTCGGGACCCCCGCCCCCTACCATCATCCACATGCGTAGTTACCGACTCGGGCGAGGTCAAAATTGTCAATCTAGCTGTGCGTGTCCTACCGGCACACACATTGGCGTACCAGTAACAGAACCCTTAACTTTGACAATGTAGGCCGGAATATCGCTGTCCCGGGCAACTTCTCCTGCCTTGATTTTTCTTATCCAATAATATTAAAGAAGAATAACTTTATGTTGCCATGGTAAAATATCAACACGACAGTAAACCCGATTTTATTTCATGCATTTTTTTTTTCACTCTTTCTGTCTTCACCAAGAGTAAATGTTATTGATAGATACATTAACATAAATGTACATATCTGTATTTTTTTACGTTCAATGCTTTGACCCAGTGAGAGTATTTATGTATAACACATTTTCAGTAACTATGGATACGATGGGAACGAGACATGTTCTTCCATCGGGGAAGTAAGAGGATGAAACACAAAAAATTCAGACTGTCACATCTTTTAGAATTTTATATCAAGTGCATTAGAAACGTATACAACGTATACATTGAAATAAAACTCCGCGATATTTACAGCTTACAGAACCAAACGCGATCTCTATAGATACTCCCAAATACGCTCGGCCAAACGTGGCCATTTTCTGGATTTTGTTACTAATATCGAGTGACATCTAATGTTCATTTTATTTTATTGAACAGAATCTTTACTACCAAAACTGTCCGTAATGGCTGAATTTCTCATTTGATCTAAACGCATCAAGGACATTTTTATGACACTAAAATTGTTTATTTTCTACATCTGAAAAGACATTATTCTGACCCAAAAACTTTAAACGTACCGAAATACTTTTAACAAAATGGCGCCCTTTACGGTGGGAGGAAACCGGGGAGCTTGGCGAAAATCCACGTGATTAAACAGATAACCCTTCTCCTTGTCACAAACAAATATATAGACTCAAAATCCCAACTACTTCAATTACTGAACCCTATAAAACATGAGTCATCTCGAGTTAACGACTTTATTTTATATTATTGAGGGTAATGAAATATAATTTAGTTAAGTTCAGCGTTATTTAAACGATTATTATTTTTTATTATTACTGGTACCGAGGTTGGGCTATGTTTAATGTATTGTATTGTGTTTAAAGAGCCCCCATCCTGCACCATTGACAAGCAGAAACCGGGAAAACCACACAGAACTTGAACTCTGGACCTCATGGCAAATGAGCCAGCATCTTACACACTGAGTCACCATGCCCCCTACCCCTGCCCCCCCCCCCACACACACACCAGGAGTACTGTGGCGGTGGCGTTTAAAGGGCCAATAAACCTTTCTTCCTGTGCCACACAATTATCTGGAGCCATGTGATAAATGTCACCGTTTCAAATGTATGCATTTTATAAGACAATGAAAATAACTAATACACACCTAATGGTGGTAAGTTCTCTTGACCCTACCTAATAATGTAGAAAACAAAAGTATAAATAAAATGTCAGACAGGACCAGTGGCGTTTAAATGGAACTAAAAACATTACGGGTAATATTGTCAACATCACCATAGTTTAACCATAAATAAAAACTGTCTACGGGCTGTCAAAATGAGGAAACCTTAAGTTATTTATTGCATGATGGAGTCAATTCCATGATGTTATATCCGCTTGATAGATGACAAGAACCGCACATAAAGGTACCAACCACTCTTTTACCCAAAATATCAAACGGGTTGATCATGCCGAACTGAAGTTCTTGGATGGATGACCAACACCCCCTGGCCAAAAATGGTTACTGCGGAACGACCATATTGTATATTAATATTTCAATAATTCGCTTGTGATGGCGCCCTTAACGGTGGAAGGAAACCGGAGAGCTTGGCGAAAATCGACGTGGTTAAACAAACGATCCGTCTCCTTGTCACAAACAACTATGTGGACTCAAAATCCCAACTACTTCAATTAATGATAAACCTTAAGGTCACCCTCCAATGGGTAAATTATATTAGTTAAATTATTTTTGGGACAGTGATGGCACTGATGGCATTGGATCGTGGTACCTGATATAATGTCCCCGCTTTAGTCCACAATTTCTCTTAGTATAGTTATAACGAATGGTTTGTTTGCCTTTCCATTCTATCTACTGGAAGCACAGCTTTCCGGCTGTGTATAAAGTGACTTTATTGTTTTATACCATTTGATCTTTATTACCTTCAGCAGGCTTGATGACACCTGGTGCATTATTAAAGTGGGTGTTTTTCTCTGTAATTGTTTTCACAGTTCTACACATTGTCAATTGGAAAGGAGCAACGAGAGAAAGAGAGAGACAGAGACAGAGAGAGACAGAGAGAGGGGGAGAGAAAATGGGGTTTAACGTCCACTCAACACAAACTAGGTCATTTCGGGACTAACATATTGTTTAATTTTATTTCAATAATTCGCAACGAGAGAGAGAGAAATGGGGTTTAACGTCCACTCAACAAAAACTAGGTCATTTCGGGATTAACATATGGTTCAATTTTATTTCAAAAATTCGCTTGCGCGTAGGGGTCTTTAGCAGTGAAAGCAAACCGGGGGACCCGGAGGAAACCCATGGGGTTGGAAAGGCGACCCTACCCCTTGTCACGTACAACTGGGGAATCGAAACCACGCCAATTGACTCAACGACAGACCTTATGATGCAAGGCGCATTCAATGGATACGTGGCAACAACCACGTCAGTTGACTCAGTAACAGACATTATGATACAACGCGCACACGCTACCCCCAACCCCCATAATGTTATGAGCTGGTGCATTTGCCTATTAGTAAAAGTCAATCTACAATTAGTCCAATAATTAATTGTTCATAAGTCACGCGTGCATTAATTACGTTAGTGAGAATCGGATATCAATATTTCCATTGTCAGATGATATTGTAGGATTGGGCGTATGTTTATTTATATGCAAATGCTTTTTAAATACTAATACGGTTGTCAATAACACCTTTATCAATGTAAATGATCCGTTTCTGAGTGGAAAGAGCAGGGGGGCTGAACGAGGAGAAACGATGTTGATAGACGTGACTCCGGGCACTGGTCATCATGGCTACAGCGTTGTCTGTGATTCTCCTAAAACAGCCAATGGCGAACGCCCAAAAATATTTATAATGCGACAGCAGAATAAAAAAAAATACGCTTGAAATAAAGGAATTCCGATCATCAAGTCGCATTATCCCTATTTAGGATGGCTACAGTCTGATGTATATTAATTTTAGGTTATTGAAATCCACAGTCAAGGCTATTCGTATATAGACCATTTAACAATCACGTTAACTGGATCATTCTGCTCTGTATTATAATTCTAATTTTCCACGTGAGCTACAAGGAAGAACGTGGACGTAATATTAAACTACTTCCAATGGTCTGATTTTTTTTAGGTCAGTCATTGTGATTGATTTGTTGAAATATCAAATAAAAGACTGCCTTGTCAATAACTTGTTATATAGTTCTTAGAATCCATATAGATCGGTTTTACTAGCTCTATTAACATGATCTGATCAATTTGCTTAAATTTCAAACCTAACACTTCCTTGTCGAATAAATACAGTTCTCGAAATACTATAACATAGCTTGCCGGGTATATTAATGACCAACTCAGTATTTGTTTTGAGGTATTAGGGTTCGCCCAAGTATTAATTACTATTTAGTCCAGATCGTGGAATCCCCCAAAAGTTTCCTTTTTATAGTGTCAGATTGTTCTCTACACAGATATTGTTTGGTTAAATCCCACTTTCAATAGTATCATCTGTAAGATTCCCTCAAAAACTATTTGTCGATTTCATTTGCTATGCCAAGAGATGCATCTCTTTTAAAAATTAAAGAGTTCCTCAGATTGTTTTTTGCCAACGAGTTGGGTCGTATTCCAAGCAAATATTCCTCCATATTGCACGAAGTCCTACATTTACTCAAAATCTACTTTATCTAATTTAACAATAAGAACGCACTAAGAATTATTGACGCGCATACCCAGGGTGGTATGGGGCATGCAGTCGTCCCCGGGTGCAGCTGCATAAGGTTCAGTTATATACCTA